AATTTGTGGTACCACCATTCCAAGTACTTTGCATGTATGCTAGACCTATCCTGTTATCTCCAGTTGACAGATGTGCTGCTTATTGTGCAGAGGTGATATGCTCAAGGTCACCCTAGTTATAAAAGACTAAGTCCATATGCTTAACTCTTATTTTTGATGCTGTCTTGGAGTGAGGGACTGTGACTATCACAACTTCCCTCAGATGATCTTGCACCACATTCATTGAGCACTTGTTTATTTAAAAATATTTATTTTATTATTATTGTTGAGAAAGCATTTCTCTATGTAGTTCTGGCTGTCCTGGAATACACTGTATAGACTAGGCTAGTCTCACACTAACAGAGATCTTCCTGCCTCTGGCTCCTATGTGCTCAGATTAAAGGTATGTACCACCATGCCAGGCTTCTAAAAGTATTTATTGAGGGCAAGATAGTAGCTGCCCTTTAATGAGGTAAAGGGAGTTGCTGCCAAGCTTGATGGCTTGAATTTGATCCCCAGAACCTACATGTTAGGAGAGAAACAAGTCCTTCAAATATCTTGGCCCTCCATACATGGTTTGCAAGCATGTTCCCCCAATAAATACATAAAATGAAAAAAAAATGTATTTATTAAGGATCTTACTGTGGGGTCAGCACTGAACTGAGCCATGAGGATATAGAAATAAGCAAGACAAATTTAATCACTGCCCTCAATAAAGACCATTTACAGGGCTGGAGAGATGGCTCAGAGGTTAGGAGCACTGACTCGTCTTCCAAAGGTCCTGAGTTCAATTTCCAGCAACCACATGGTGGCTCACAACCATCTATAATGATATCTGGTGCAGGTGTACATGCAGGCAGAAGAATGTATATATAATGAATAAGTAAATATTTAAAAAGAAAAGGATACCTTCTAGCAATGAAAAGGGAAGATAGATATAAAAAACATAAAGACCATTTACTATCAAGGAAGGAAGATGGTGAATAAGTAAACAGAATTAGGGGCTGGAGAGATGTCTTAGGGGTTAAGAGCACTTGTTCTTGCACTGAACCTTGGTTTGGATCCCAGCACCAGCACGCTGGCTCACAAATCAGTGTAACTCCAGTTCCAGCGAAAACTGCTGCCCTCTTCTGCCCTCTGTGGGCACTGTATGCTTGTGGTACACAAACATATATACATGCAGGTAAAACAAGGGATATACAGAGACCTTGTCTCAGAAAACAAAACAAAAAAATTTCTTTAAAAATAATAAAATTTTTAATGTTTTAAAAAATTTTAATATTAAAAAATTTTAATATTAAAAAATTTCAAGTCTTTGCAGAAAGAAATTGAAGAAGATATCGGAAGATGGAAAGATCTCCCATGCTCATGATCAGTAGGATTAACACAGTGAAAATGGCCATCCTATCAAAAGCAATCTACATATTCAATGCAGTTCCCATCAAAACACCAACACAATTCTTTACATAACTTCAAAGAACAATTCTTAATTACATATGGAAAAGCAAAAAAAAAAAAAATGCAGAATCGCTAAAATAATCCTGTACAACATCAGATCGTCTGGAGGTATCTCCATCCCTGATTTCAAGCTGTAGTACAGAGCAATAGTAATAAAAATGGCAAGGTGCTGGCATAGAAACAAAATGGTGGGCCAATGTAATTGAATGGAAGACCCAGAAGCAAACCCACATACCTACAGATACTTAATTTTTAACAAAGAAGCCAAAACCATACAATGCAAAAAAGACAGCATCTTCAACAAATGGTGCTGGTCTAACTGGATGTCTACATGTAGAAAAATGTAAATGGATCCATATTTATCACCCTGCACAAAACTAAAGTCCAAGTGGATCAAAGACTTCAACATAAATCCAGACACACTAAACCTGTTAGAAGAAAAAGTGGAGAAGATCTTTGACCTCAATGTCACAGGAAACAACTTCCTAAACAGAACACCAACAACACAGGCTCTAAGATCAACAATCAATAACTGGGACCTCACAAAACTGAAAAGCTTCTGTAAAGCAAGGACACTGTCATCAGAACCAAGCAACAGCCAACAGATTGGTAAAGGATCTTCACCAACCCTATATCTGACAGAGGGCTAATATAAAGTATATATAAAGAATTCAAGAAGTTCAACACCATCTACCAAGTAATGCAATTAAAAAATGGGTTACAAAGCTAAACAGAGAATTCTCAATAGAGGAATATAGAATAGCAGAGAAACACTTAAACAAATGTTCAATGCCCTTAGTCATCAGGTAAATGCAAATCAAAATGACCCTGGGATTTCACCTTACACCCATCAAAATGGCTAAGATAAAAAACTCAAGGGATGATGCATGCTGGAGAGGATGTGGAGAAAGGGGACCCCTCCTCCTTTGCTCATGGGAATGTAAACTTGTACAACCACTTTGGAAATCAATCTGGCACTTTCTCAGAAAATGAGGAATAGTGCTACCTCAAGATCCAGCTATACCACTCCTATTCATATACCCCAAAGATGTCCAACCATTCAATAAGGACATTTGCTCAACCATGTTCTTAGCAGCTCTATTCATAATAGGCAGAATCTGGAAACCACCTAGATATCCCTCAAAAGAGGAATGGATACAGAAATTGTGGTACATTTGCACAATGGAATACTACTCAGCTATTTCAAACAAGGAAATCAGAAAATTTGCAGGCAAATGGTGGGAGCTAAAAAAGATCATCTTGAGTGAGTAAACCCAGAAACACAAAGACACATAGGGTATATACTCAGTCCTAAGTGGTTATTAGACATATAATACAGGATAAACATACTAAAATATATACTCCTAAAGAAGCTAAACAACAAGGAAGACCGTAGGGAAAATGCTCAATCCTCATTCAGAAGGGCAAACAAAATAGACATCGGAAGCAGGAGAAGTCACGGAACAGGACAGGAGCCTACCACAGACAGCCTCTGAAAGACTCTACTGATCAGGATATTGAATCAGAGGCTGAGACTCATAGCCAAACTTTGGGCAGAATGCATCGAATTTTATGAAAGAAGGGGGAGATAAAAAGAGCAGGAGCTCCAAAAAGAGAACAACAGAGACTAAATAACTGAGCCCTGGGAGCCCTAAAGAGAATAGTACCCCAAGCAAGCAAGGACCATGCATGGAGAGGACCTCAAACCCCTGCTCAGACATAGCTCATAGACTCAATCTCCAAGGAGGGTCCCTAGTAAGGGGCTCAGGAGATTTCTCTGGCATGAACTCAATGGCAAGCTCTCTGACCACCTCCTCCTTGAGGGTGCAGCCTTGCCAGGCCACAGAGGAAGACAATACAACCAGACTTGTTGAGACCTGATAGGGAGGAACTCCCTATCAGTGGTCTAGGGGAGGGGTATAGGGAGAGAAGTAGGAGGGAAGGTGGGATTGAGAGGAGACAAGGGAGGAGGCCACAGCTGGGATACAAATTGAATAAATAATAATATCTTAATAAAACAAAAAATAGAACAATAAAGAAAACAATAAAGAAAATAAATATTAAAGTTCTGATTCTTGCTATAAAGCACAATTATGCAGGTATGATAAATGTGCCGAGTGAAAAATGAATCTTGGGTCTGGAGAGATGGGTTAGTGGTTAAGAGCACTGCCTGCTCTTCCAAAAGACCCGAGTTCAATTCCTAGCACCTACATAGCAGCTTATAACTGTCCATTTCCAAGGGATTGAACACATTTATACTAACACACATAAAATGAAAAATGAATCTCTTCTGTTATGGTTTGACTATGAAATGTTTCCCATGGGCCCTAGATTTGAATTAGCTGGTTCATGGCTAATGCTGTTATTTGGGGAAGTTGTTGAAATTTGGGGATGTGAGGTATAGCTGAAGGAAATAGGCCACTGGATGCAGAACCATGAAGGTAATGAAAGGTTCTAGTTCTCTCCTTTATCTCTGCTTTCTGTCTATCATGATATGAAGTACTTCTGCAACAGGCCCAGAAATACAGAGCCAAGTGACTTGTAAGTCAAAATAAAAACTGTTGAATGATTATAATATTTAATATTGATTCATGTAATCATTAAGGCAGCAGTTACTTCTTAACCATCTATTACATAAATTAAGGACACAGAAATTTGTTAGATTTCTGATAAGCCTTAATGCCCTGGGGCTGCTCAGACATTGACCCTTTTTAGTCTATCTTGTCTAGTTCCCAGCCAAAATCCCCATAAATGTTTACACATGTTTTCCATCTGGGCTTTTTCTCTCCATCCTGCCAATCCTCAGAGCAAGCTCCTCCCAGCCACATGCTTCTAGTTCACCTTAACCCATGGTAACCTGTTCCTAACTTCCTCCTTCCTCTCTCCTCTTCTTGGTCTCTCTCTACCACGCCCCAGCCCTTGAAACTTGGCTCCACCTACCTCTCTCTGCTCAGTCCAGGCTGTAGGCAACATCATTTATCCAATCAGAAATAATTGAGAAGGCAAGGTTAATACCATGTCATTCTGGATACATAAGAATTTGCTCATAAGGATCATGGCGGAGGGGGCAAGCCATTAATATTTGAATACATAGTAGCTTCAGATCAACTCCAACAAAATAACCTAAAATAAATCTTTCTTAAGTTATTTCTGTCAGGTATTTTGTCACAGGAAGTAGGCAACTACCACACCCCTACATTATATATATACACCATAATTCTGAGAATTTGTGAATATGATCTAATTTGGTAAAGGAGTCTTTTCAGGTATTTTTTTTTACCAACATGAGGCCATAATGTATTATTCCAGTGGGTCCTAAATTAAATAGAATCATTCTTTTTATTTTATTACAAAAGTTTATTACAATGTATAATAGGCTCCAGGATAACACTTCATTCTAGCTGCAGGTGGCAAAGATGTTATGTCAGGGAATCCAGATGTTTAAAAGGCTCCAGGATAACACTTCATTCTATATGTAAGTAGCAAACATGCTATAGCAGGGGATCTGGATGTTTAAATAGGAATGGAAGAGGGCCACCATCACCTCTGATATGAGGAACAGCTTACTTTTTGTCAGATTTCTTAATTCCACCTGTGACCAGGGACCCTTTCCCCACAGCCTTGGCTTTTAGATCCTCGAGTTTCTTCTGCTCCTCTTTCTGTTTCTGCTTGAAAGCCTTGTCTTCCTTGTCCATCTCCTTGGCCTGCTTCTTGGGCTGTTTCAGGGGCTTCTTTTTGCCACCTTCATGGCTGGACATGGAGCCAACAATACCTTCACCAGTCTCTAATAGAATCATTCTTATAAGAGATACATAGAGAGTCAGGAAGAAGAAAAGAATATGTAAAAATGGAGGTAGAGATTGAAGATATGCAACCATAAGCCAGGAATGATTGAAACCACTGGGATCTAAAAGAGCAATGAAGGATTCCCATAGGGTCATAATAGAAAACATGGCATGCCAACACTTTGATTTGAAGTTTCATTCCCCCAGAATTATGAGAGAATATTTTTGTTGAGTTAAGCCTTGAAGTCTGAAGTAGTTTGTCTCATAACACAGGAACTCAATGGTTTGGTGATAATCTATGTGGAAACTATCCAGGAGGGCAGTATGATGTGAGAGATAAACAAAGCAACAGGCAGGGCTTGAGAGATGGCTTAGCAGTAAGCATGATTGTGGGCTTAGATTTTTCACCAAACCTACTTTATTTAGGATTCTTAAACGTTTATCCCCCCCCAACTGACCAGAGGTAGAGGAAAAAGAAGGTTATTAGGTAAAAGGGGGTTATAGACCTTTCAGAAGTAGTTCCTTGGGATGAGTCCACTCTTTTTTTTTTGTCCAGATACTAGGAGTCTAGTACAAAGGCCAACACCAAGTAGCAACATGAATCAGCACAATTCAGAAGCTTGGGGCAAGTCAGCAAAAGCCTCAAGACTCAGTTGGATTGCCCTGAGAAGTTCTCTGGAATGTTTTCTCTGCAAAATCATCTCAAAACACGAAGATCAGCACAGAGATGTTGATCCAAAAATTGATGTCACACTGTCTGCAGGCTTCTATATATCTCCTCTCCTCAGAGTCCACCCACGGATGTTCTCAGCTGACCAAAGTCACGCCCATCACATGAGACAGCTCACAGCAAAACATCACATGCCCATTCAACAAGACAGCTTCTTGGAAAACATCACATGACTCAACTGAGTCTTCAAAGAAACCAAAAACTTCCACTTCACATGATTGCTGCTCTTGCAGAGATCCCAGATTTGATTCCCAACACCCATGTTAGGAGGCTTACAACTGTCTATAGCCTGTACCTCCAGCTTCAGGGGACCCAACACCCTCTTCTAGCCACTGTGGTACACACTTGCATGTGAAAACGCCCATGCACAGACATTCACAAGCACAAAAATAATAAATATAAAGGCATTTTTTAAGTTGAAAGGAAAAACAGATTTTGGTTGCAGAAATAGAAACAGATAAGAGAGTGAGGAAGGTTCTACTCTATAAGCACCAAATACTGTGCTCTACTCTTACTTTTTTACATTTATTTATTTTAGTGTGTGTGTGTGTGTGTGTGTGTGTGTGTGTGTGTGTGTGTGTGGTTAATTGTCTCTATCATGTGGGTCCCAGGGATGGAAGCCAGTTTGCCAGACTAGTCACTTGATGCCTTTACTGGATGAGCAGTCAGTAGTCCTCTGAGCACCAGGTTTTAGGAATATTTAACAGTTAATTTTCTTGTTGCTAGAACAAAATACCTAGCAAACCCAAATTTAAGAAAGAAGAGCTTATTTTGTCTTCTCGTTCAAAGGTATATCCAAATAAAGCAGTCTGATGCAGCTGCAATGATAGGGAGCAAAGACATGATCAACAGTGCTCAGATCAATTAGCATTCTCCTTGTATTGCAGTACAGGACCTCAGCCCACAGACTGTTGATGCCCACATTTAGAGTGAATTTCTATTCTTAATTATTCTCATCTAGAAAATCCTTCACCAGCATGACCAGAAGCTTCCTACTTCATGGTTCTAGATTTTTTTTTTATTAATTACACTTTATTCATTTTGTATCCCCCCATAAGCCCCTCCTTCCTCCCCTGCCGATCCCACCCTCCCTCCCCTTTCTGCATGCATGCCACTCCCCAAGTCCACTGATAGGGGAGGTCCTCCTCTCCTTCTTTCTGATCTTAGTCTATCAGTTCTCATCAAAAGTGGCTGCATTGTCCTCTACTGTGGCCTGGTAAGGCTGCTCCCCCCTCAGGGGGAAGTGATCAACGAGCAGGCCAATCAGATTATGTCAGAGGCAGTCCCTCTTCCCATTACTATGTAACCTACTTGGACACTGAACTACCATGGGCTACACCTGTGCAGAGGTTCCAATAAACCCACTAAAAGCTGTACATCTAAACAAACTAAGCAAAAGAGAGGACCCTAACTAAAATGTTCAATCCCCATCCTGAAAGGCAAAGAGGATGGACATCAGAAGAAAACGAAAATAGGAAACAACCTCGGAACCCGCTACAGAGGGACTCTGAAAGCCAGAAGAAAACAGGAAACAACCTTGGAACCTGCCACAGAGGGCCTCTGAAAGCTTCTGCAGTATAGACTGTCAAAGCAGATGCTGAGCCTGATGGCCAACTGATGGGCAGAGTGAATGGTTCTAGATTTTGATTGACAATCAATATTGACCATCACAGAATGACACTGATGAAGGGTAGCTTAGCCAAAAACAGGTTAAGAAGATGAAACTGGCTCTAAAAATCTTGTTATACAATACAGGAGTTGATAGCATTTGAAACTGGGATCCTACAAAAGAAATGTGACAACAATGTTGATATTATGGTTTGAATATATAATGTCCTCCACAGGTTGGTTGCCAGCTTTGGGAATGTGGCTGGGTCCTGTGGGCCCTGATGTTATGAACAGAGTAATCCATTGATGGATTAATAATTGGATGCCCTTATTGGGAGGTGATGGAAATACTAAGATGAAGGGCCTGGTAGCAGGGATTAGGTCTCTGAGTGCATCTTTTTGAAGGGGTAATCTTGTCTTCTGCCCCTTTCTCTTTGTCTCTCTGCTTTTTGTATGCTATTAGGTCAGCAACTTTGCTCCATCACATGCTCACTGTGACCCAGAAACAATGGAACTAGCTAACAATATCCAGAAACCTCTATACTGATGACCCAAAATAAATCCTTTTTTTTTTTCTTTTAAACCATTTTCCTCAGGTATTTGTCACAGCAGTGAAAAGTCTAATATACCTAGAATGCATGAATATTCCTTGTCAGTAAAGAAACTCATCATCTTCCTTTATACCGTTATAGGAGACAAAATTGGGCCTGAGAAAGAAAGCTATTTGAAGAGAGTATATCATAATTGCAAATTGTGTGCAGTTGATGGTGTGCATGCAGGTGTATGTGTGCATGCAAACATTTGGAGACCACAGGAAAATCTTCGGTATCATCCTCAGGTGCTCTCCAGCTCTTCCTTTTCAGAAAGTCTCCCACTGGCCTGAAACCTACCAAGTAGGCTAGGCTGGCTAGCTAGTTAATATCAAGGATCTGTCTCTGCCTTCTCAGAACTGAGATTATAAACCTTCACCACCATGCCTGCCATTTTTTACATAGGTTCTGGTACTGAAAGTCAGGCCCACATTTTTACAAGGCCAACACCTTACTAATTTAGCTATCTACTGAGCCTGAGTCCCTAACTGTATAAATCAAGTATTAGAAATAAGACAGGAAATGTGTCTGTACTCTAAGATCAAAAATAGCACCTGGTCCTTTACAGTTAGTTGATTATGACCTGGACATATACTCATTACATTTATTTATTTATTTATTTATTTATTTATTTATTTATTTATTTATTTATTTATT